AATTCTTAAGTAAGTTTTCCCCAATGGCAGCACGGTACAGACAGTGGTCGGAGGGTGGCCTTCTGAGTCAGGAAGCCTGGTATTAAATTGGTACCTGTGTGGCTTTAGACCAATGACGAGCTCTTTGGGTCTTAGTTTCCCCGTCTGCTGGGGCATTTTGAGGCTACAATGCCAGCCTGTGATCTGGCACAAGCTGGCTCCGTAAACCGTGGCAGTTATTTTTTTCAGATTAAAAATTTTTTACATTCTTTACAGATTTTAAAAATACTGAACACATCCTACTTTATTATCAAAGAAAGAGAGTAAAATTAAGACTTCAACAGCAGCAGCAACAACAACAAAGGCAGTACATGCTGCGTCTGCTAACAGAAGTGGTTTACACCCCCAGGTTGGGTGTGTGCAGTTTCCAGACTCTTCACTGACTCCAGGAAAGGGCCCGGAGACCCGAACGTTCAGGAGCCACTGCAGTGAGGGCCAGGGAGGCAGGGCTGGGAGAGGGTGGACCACAGCCCTGGCTTTCTAGATGCTGAGCTTCTCCCTTCTGTCCTGCCCAGGACGCAACGAGCCCCTGAAGAAGGAGCGGCTGAAGTGGAAGAGCGACTACCCAATGACCGATGGGCAGCTGCGGAGCAAGAGGGATGAGTTCTGGGACACAGCGCCCGCCTTCGAGGGCCGCAAGGAGATCTGGGATGCCCTCAAGGCTGCCGCCTACGCAGCTGAGGCCAACGACCACGAGCTGGCTCAGGCCATCCTGGACGGAGCCAGCATCACCTTGCCTCATGGTGAGCAGGCAGGGCGGGGGCTTTCCCCACCGGAGTGAGGGGGCCGTCAGGGTGGAGGAGAGCCAGTGGCCAGCCCCATGTCAGGAGCTCCCATCCAGGCTGGTGGGTGGCAGGTGTGGCTAGTCGCTTGTTCATTCAAGCAGCCCTCATGAACATGGTCCAGGAGTGGGACACCAAGAAAAATGAGACACAGTCCCCACTTGCCTAACGAGGGTGTGGAAAGACACCAGCAAACCTCAAGGCGGTGTGATGAGAGCAAGCTAAAGATTGCTCAGGGCCCTTTGAGATCCCAGCACATCTCAGGTAACAACCTTCTGTTGAGTATTATTATGTGCTGGGCACCGAGCTAGAAGCTTCTGCTGCATTATCTCATTTAATTTCACAATGGCCCCTGGGACTATGTAAAGCAGAGGGCAACAATGGAAACTCTATAGAGTCAGAGACTGGGTTTTAACCAAGTGTCTCTTTCCTAGCTATGTGACCGTGAGCTTCTTGAATTTAAAGCCTCAGTGACTAAACAGTTATAAAGTGGTGATACCAACCTCATAGGATGGCTGTTAGGATTCAACAAGATACACATAACATCATTTAGTCCGGTCCCAGCACTTAGCTGGTGCTCATGATACAGTAAATATCAATATATTACTATATGTAACACATTGTACAAGTAAGAAGATTGAGGCCCACTGGGTATATAAGTCATGAAAAGCAGGGCCTATGCTATTTCATTCATCCTTGTAACCCCAGCACCCAGCACATATGCTCAGGAAGGAGTTGTTGAATGAACAAATGAAAAGTTAAGTAATTTTCTAGGGTTGAATGAGCCAGTTACCTGGTGGAGCCAGAATGTCAGCCCAGGTCTTCCTGCCTCTACCTTGAGCTCCCACCAGCTGTCCCAGGAAGACCTGCCTGTAGGGTGGGTTTGAGGACTGTGGGATGACCAGGACAGGTGTATCAGTCTGCTCAGGCTGCTATAGCAAAATACTGCAGACCGGGTAGCTTATTAAACAACAGAAATTTAGTTCTGGAGTCCGAGAAGCCCAAGATCAAGGTGGCAGCTGATTTGGTTTTTGGTGAGAGCTCTCTTCCTGGCTTGTAGATGGCCACCTGCCCTCTATGTCCTCATTGTGGGAGAAGAGAGAGAGCTTGAACTTTCTGGTCTTCTTGTAAGGGCACTAACCCTTACCGGATCAGGGCCCCACCTATATGACCTCATTTAACCTTAATTACTCCCCTATAGGCCCCTATCTCCAAATACAGTGACACTGTGGGGGTGGGGTTAGGGCTTCAATACATGAAATTGGTGGAGGGGACACAAGTTAATCCATATCAGTTGGTCCCCAAGACGACTCTGACCACCCTGCCTTTCCCACAGGCACCCTCTGTGAATGCTACGATGAGCTGGGCAATCGCTACCAGCTGCCCATTTACTGCCTGTCGCCACCCGTGAACCTGCTTCTGGAGCACACTGAGGAGGAGAACCTGGAGCCCCCCGAGCCCACCCCCAGCGTGCGCCGAGAGTTCCCGCTGAAGGTACGCCTCTCCACGGGCAAGGACGTGAGGCTCAGCGCCAGCCTGCCTGACACGGTGGGGCAGCTCAAGAGGCAGCTGCACACCCAGGAGGGCATCGAGCCATCCTGGCAGCGATGGTTCTTCTCTGGAAAGCTGCTCACAGATCGCACGCGGCTCCAGGAAACCAAGATCCAGAAAGATTTTGTCATCCAGGTCATCATTAACCAGCCCCCGCCGCCCCAGGACTGAGGAGCCCACGGACCCCTGGGCAGAGAGACCAGGGAAGGCCTCTGCAGGGCTGAGAGGCCTCCCGGCTGGAGCACTAGGCACCCCCGCCCTGCCGCTGCCTTTGAGAGCCGTTCTTTTCTCCAGGGGAGCCTCACGTGTATGGCTGCCGGGCGAGCCCTGAGGGGACCCTGCTTCCCAGGGACTCCGTGGGCCACCAGTGCCCAGCACCCAGGAAACAGTGTGCTGCCACACACAGGCCTTGCCAACCTTGTCAAAGAAAAGGCAAACTGGGGCCCTCCACCCTGCCTCTCCCCCGCGGCAGGTTCAAGCCACGAGGGCCAGCCCGGAGGCCCCTGGAGCCCAGATCTGTCATCTGGTGCTGCCGGCTGTGCTCACTCGGGTTTCTGCTCAGGGTCTGAAGCAGCTGCTGTCTCCCTCCCTCGCCCCTACCCCCTGACTCTGCCCTGGGCCCAGTGCCAGCCCCCCAGAGGGGAGGGGACCACTCGTGAGCCCCGGGGGTGGGGAGCCTGAGGCCGGCCTCTGCCTCTCCCAGCCCCCAGCACAGCTGGCAGAGATGAGGTGGTGGCCGCTGGCTGGGCTGTCATGGCAGAGGCCTGCACAGGGCCATCTCCTGGCTGTAACCCCGGCAGTGGGGGGTCTGCAGCCCGCTCACGGCCCCGCAGCAGGTCCCTGTGTGCAGACATGTCTGCATATTTATCAATAAAGCCTTTTGCTCCTTCCTTCTCTCTTGCCTGGCTTTGGCTTTGGGTTCTCCTGTAGCTCTCTGGAGCCCTGGAGCCAGTTCTGGGGTGGGAGCAGGTGGGTGCACGGCCTCCCCAGCTGCTCCGGGTAGAGCAGCTACTGCTCCGTGCTCTCCACCGCAGAGAGTACGGTGGAGCGAGCCGTGAACTGCCAGTATGCGGGCCTATGTTCTCGTGGGTCCTCTGGAAAAGCCACTTAACCTCCGAACCCGCGTTGCTTGTCTTTAAAGTGGAGGTGATGCCGCCTGCCCTGCCTCCCCTCTCAGCTGCTGGCAGGATTACATGGGATAACAGGTGTGAACTCGCTTTGAAAGCGAAGGCAGCACCTCAGGAAGGCGGCGTTAGTTACCTGCTGCTCTGCTCCTGCAGCACGAGGGTGCTGGCTTCAGGCTCCAGCCCCCTGAGCCGGGCCTTCAGGACTGAGATGTGTGTGGATGTCCTGCAAATGCTGCATGCACCCTTGGCGACGTGAAAGCAAAATCTCTGATAAATTTCGATGATGAGCCTGTGTCAGCTCATCCCTTGCCAGCAAGGGAACCAGAGGGAAGAAGGAGCTGGGTCTTGTGCTTCCTTAGGGGAAAATGTGCACGTAAGCAGAGAGGGGGACCTTAGATAAGGTGGTTTAGCTGAGGGCAGGCCACGTGAGTGTCACAGAACCACAGGGCTGTGGTGTCTGTGGTTCACTGGCAGGTTCAACCTGGGTCGTGGTGACCCAGGCCTCGCTCCCACAGTTCCAGGTGCGGAACTGAGCAGTACAGGTCTGCTTCTTCTCCAGTTGATAGTATTTTTCTTTCTCAGTGAGCACCGGTCAGGTTGGCCTGACTGGGAAACCGGGGAGGGAAGGATGATCAGTCAGAGCTGGTGTCTTCGTCAGCGGGGCTTGGCACTGCGTTCCAGCCCTTCCAGTGGCTCCTTGAAGCAAGACCCTTTAAGTCCCACAGAGGCCCCCTGCGACAGACTGATGGGTGAGGTCTGTCAGGGACAAGTGGACTTGCAGCCAAATGCTGCGGTGCTTCACTAGGGGGCGCTGTGGGACCCCAGAGAGGCAAAGGCCTGCGCGAGCTGCGGGCAAAGAGGCAGGCGGCTGCCCTTACCTCCACCCACTGCCTGGCACTCCAGCCCAGATGAGGCAGAGTCTTGCCCCTTCCCAGAGCAGGAAGGGCCTTTTCATGGGACGGCCTGGGGATGCGGGCTTATCTTGGGTCCCCACATTTGGCCTTTAGGCTCCCTCACTGGCACTGGCTGGGCAGGGTTTCCAGGCGTCCAGCAGGTGGCACCGCCATCAGGGCTAAGGGCAGCCAGCGATCCTTTGTGCAGCGCGGCTGCCCGGCCCATCTGGGCCTCAGCACTCAGGACAGAGGCTGGGCAGGCGCCTTCCTGCAGTCCTCGCTCTCGCTCCCGGGGCACTGGGCCCTCCGGCTCCAATAGGCCAGGGGTTGGGGGGTGGCAACTGTCCCTGCCGCCTCCTGCTCCTCGGGGCTGCCTGGGGTGAAGGTGACAGGTCGGGAGGCAGCTGGAGAATTGGGCCGGTGAGCTCATGGCAGAGGCGCCTAGCAGGGCGGGGGTGGGAGCCCTGGCATATAAAGCCCCTGGGGCCCCGGGGCCTGCAGGGGCGGGTTGCGCACGGTGCCATGGCGGGCTCCGAGGAGGTGCAGAGGGCCGCGGCACTCATCGAGGAGCGGCTGGCACAGGAGGAGGAGAATGAGGTAGGGCGGGGTGTGGGGCCCAAGGGGGTGCTGAGGAGACCCAGCTCTGCTGTCAAGGGAAGGAAGAGCCTGGCTGCCGTACCTGGAAGGAAGGAGGACAGGTGTCCCCAGGGGCCCAGCTGGCTCTACTGCAGGGTGCTTCTGAGAGGGAACTGCTGGCAGTGGGAGACGGAGGCTTCAGCCCCCAAATCTGAGAGACAGTGGAGTGGGCGAGCCAAGCTGGGTTCCTCGAGACCCTGTCCACCCACCTGAGCCTCGAGGAGACAGGCTGAGCTGCACAGAGCAGGACAGCTGGGATGCTGCCTGCAGCTTGGGGCCCTGAGATCCCCCCAGCTGCCAGCTGGGAGGCTGGGACAGGAAAAACTCCAGTGTTTGGTCCCTGAGGAAGGATAAAGACGGGGAGCAGAGTGAGAAAGGGTTGCTGGCAAAGGAAGCATGGGTTTTCTAGGACCACCAGCCACACCCGGGGAGGCGACTGAGCATGGGGCTCTGGGCAATTGTATTTTCTCTGGAATAAAGAAGTCGGGGAGGAGGGTGCGGGCTGGTCCTACTCTTCATTTTATGGAGATGAATACTTCACCTAGAGTCTACTCTTCCAAGAGCCCAGTGCTGGGAGGAATGAGAGGCTCAGGAAGGTCAGCCCCTGCCTCCTCTTTACCAGCTCTGTGTTCATTTTAGCCGACATCTGCCAGGTGCACAGTCAACTAAGAAACAAGGCAGAGTGGAAAAGGGTGAAATAGAGGTGTAACTCAGAAGTGAAGGAGCACAAAGGGTGGGTGAGGCATAGGGTGGGTGAGGCATGCCGACCGTGGGCCCTCGAGGACTTCTCCGTGGACAGGAGGGCATTTGAGCCAGGCCTTCAAGGATGGCCCTTGAAGGATGGAGGTCAGGAGGGGGGAGAGTATTCCAGGCTAAGGAAACAACAGGCGCCTGTCGTTGGGGTGAGTGGAAGCATGATTGTCGGGAGAAAGTCTGGCAGGAGGGGCTGAGGCTGGGAAGGGAGACGGGGCACAAACCAGACAGTGAGGACCACGTGAAAGATACTTATTCTGTGGGCAGTGGGGAGCCACTGCATGTTGTTGAGTGAGGCACAGTGGTGCCACCTGACCTGTTTGGGGAAGGCAGCTCTGACAGCCCTGAGAAGGACTTGGAGGGGGAAAGACTGGCCCTAACAGGAATGGGAGGGAGGAGATAAATCAGTGTAGATGTAGACTCCATTCAAAAAAGGAAGAGTGACTGAATGGAGGTGAGGAAGAGGGAAGGGTCAGGACTCTGGTGGAAGAAGAGATGAGGGCTAGGGAAGGGAGGGGAGGTTTGGCTGGGAAGGACCTGGACTGAGCCTGCTGAGTCCCCGCCGGCGCATCCCTGGATCTCCAGGAATGCCATTTCTCACTCCCCCAAGGGCATGTGCACCAGGGCCAGGCAGGGGAGTCATGTTGCTGGGCCATTTCTGGAATGCTGCCACTGGACACAGAGACCTTCAGCAAGGGGACACGGAACAGTCCTCATCCATTCATTCATCCAACAAATATAGCAGCAGGGCTGTCAGGGCCCCAGGTGCCCACAGAGCCACCCTCACCACTGGCGTCTCCTACATGCCAGGCACCATGCTACGCATTGGATAGGCATTCTCTCATTTCCTCTGTGCAACCATCTATGAAGTAAGGTGGAAGTTTTGTTGGGTTGTGTTTCACCGACAAACACCCAATTCAATAAACATTTCTTGAGCACCTACTGTATGCCAACCTACAGAGACAAATCTGAAGCGAGGGGCTATGGAGTCTGGGTAAGGCATGGGCAGGCGTTAGAGTCCCCAGTTGTTCCCACCAGACCCCAGCCCAGCAGCATTCTTAGAGGAGAACCGCTGTTCAGCCTGCACCCGCTTCATGGGGTGGGTAGGGAAGGAGGGTCTTGGAGACCAGCCCAGGGGCTGAGGCTCTCTTGCAGGGGCCTTACTGGGCTAGGTCATCACTGAGGACTTGGAGGTGTGCAGAGCTGCTGAGCCCGCCTGCCACCATCCGTGAACTCATTCATTCATTTATTCTCCAAACATTTGCTGAGCACCTACTGTGTGCTAACTCTTGTCATCGGTGCTGGGAATGCCAAGATGATTAGGACCAAGCCCACTCTAGATGCTCCAGGAGCCCAGCCAGGGCTCCACATGCAGTAGTAGCTGAAGCCCTAGGTGATCTTGTCCCTGGGTGAGGATGCAGCGTTTCAGGCGAGGCCGGCACTGGGGAGACCTCAAACCATGTAAGCCTGACATGGAAGGGAGATGCCAGTGGGCAACAGAACATTCGAAATAAAGACCTGGAAAATCAGCCCTCAACTGACACTTGAAGAGTATAACACCGGAGCTCCGTGTCGAACGACAAAGGCAGCTGAGAGCTCTGTAAGGGAGATCATTCCTCCCCAGCTGCCACCTGGACTCAGTACTCTCCAGCCTGGACGAATGTTTCCGGTACATGGGGACTTCAGAGACAGGGGCGCCAGCACTTAACAAAGAGTGTTTTCCTTTAGAAGAGAGGAAGCGGCCATGAGGAAGTAGTCCAGGCAGGTTGGAGCTACAAGTGGGGAGGAGACTTGGACAGAGTTTCCCGCATATTATTAAAACGAGAATAAGGTTAATACTTAGAGTTCACATCAAGCTGAGAGCTGGGGAGCTGCGGGTTCCACCCCTCAGGTTCCCTGAGAGCAACAGTTTCCATGCTCTAGGATTTCACGGATCAGTAAAATCTGAGGGAAAGAAGTTGGTAACTGACAGAGCTGCCAAATTTTTGTATTGTCAAGTAAGCCCACTAAAAAAAAAAACAAACTATCATCTCATCTCAAGTATTTCATCAAAGTGAATTTTAAACGCCAAAAAGAAAAAAAAACCAAAACCTCAGTGCTTGAAAAAAGTGAGTATGTTTAATTTCATGAAAACTCATTCCAGTAGCCCTTAATCCTGTTTTGCTGGGGACACAGGGCAGTCAGTACACAGGTGTTTGAACTGGGGTTGGGGCCAGGGAGGCCGGCTCTGACCTGGGGCCTCCTGGACCAGACAGGAGTGGGGCAGATGACGGGCTGGGAGGTCACACAGGAGGAGGTCCTTGGGGTCCTTGAATTTGTTGTGGGCGAGGCTATCTGGCCCCCGAGGCACTGCAGGCAGGCCCGGAACCCGTCCTGTCCTTGGCTCACCAGAAACTCCGAGGAACCACCACCCATCAGAAGCTGCCCATGGAGATGCTGGTGTTGGAGGATGAGAAGCACCACAGGCCTCAGAGTCCATCCTTACAAAAGGTTAAGGTAAGTGCTAGGAGAACCCAGTATCTGCGCGCTCAGGAGACAGACAAGGCAGTTACAGCCTTGCCCCTCCTGGTGCTCCTCCAGCAGCTCAGCACCCTTGGGAGTTGTTAGCGATGCAGCATCTCGGCCCCATCTCATACTTGTAAAGGAGAGCAGAATATGCCACCCCCAAATATGTCACTTTGGCATACTGATTTTTTTTTTTTTTTTTTTTTGGGGACCAGGGCCTCCTCTTTTTGTGGCCTCTCCCGTTGCGGAGCACAGGCTCCGGACGCATAGGCTTAGCAGCCATGGCTCACGGGCCCAGCCGCTCCGCAGCATGTGGGATCTTCCCGGACCGGGGCACGAACCCGTGTCCCCTGCATCGGCAGGCAGACTCTCAACCACTGTGCCACCAGGGAAGCCCCATACTGATTATTTTTAATTAAAGTTATCTGAGAAAAAGCCAGTGCATGAAGGACACTCTGACCCTCCTTTGTTCCCCTGAAAGTAGTAAATAAATCTGCCATGGGAAGTTACCCTCCTTATATCAGGAAAGTAGAAAGCTTCCTTATCACTAGATCTCAGGAATTCAGGGCTGAGAAGTCTATATAAACAAAACTTGTTTCTTCACTAATTAGTTCCTCCAAAAACAAACTCCTTTGTCTTTTCAATGTGGCACAAATTAATTGTTTCTTTGTCTAAAATGTGTAAAAGCTGCCTGCTTTGGTCACTTCTTTGAGTCTCATATTTTTATGGACTACCATACATATGAAATTAAATTTGTTTTTCTCCTATTAATCCGTCTTACATCAATTTAATTATTAGACCAGCCAAAGAACTTAGAAGTGAAGAGGGGGGAGGTTTTCCTCCCCACGTCTGCTAAGTCAGAATCTGCATGTGTACAAGATCCCAGGGGACTCATTTTGGAAGCGGCAGTGATGGGGCAGCCATACAACAGGGCATGATGCAGGTGTTAGTGGGCTGGGGGAGGCTGTGTGTGCTGACAGGAGACATCTGCACGCTGATAAGAGAAACCAGAGTTTCCAGACCACTGTGTGGAGTTTGATCCCGTAGGAAAGGGCATCAACCGAGCTATGATAGAAGTTCCTCTGGGAGAGAAGGGCTTTCTCTTCAGAGCTTTTATGTTTCTGTATTACTTTTATGGCCAGAGAGAGAGAGAGAGAGAGAGAGGCAGGGAGGGACGGAGGGAGGGAGAGGGAGAGAATTGCATGGAGAGATGAGAATTCGTACCCTGTTCTGGAGACCTGGGCTAAGAACTGCCCTTGAGATTTCTTCATCAACTCCCCACTCTATGTGGAGCCTTGGAGCAGCTGGGCAGCTCCCGAGCAGCCCCCTCAAGCGCCCTGTGCATCTGTGTCTGTCTCATTGGCTTCACCTAGTCCTAGGCGGCAGAGCTAGACCTGGATTCTTTCTCCCTTGAGAGGCTCTCCCTGTCCTCCACCTCCAGCCTAGCTCAGAGGTCCCCAAGCCCCACATTCTGTGCCCCAGTGCGGGGCTTGATTGGCTATCCCCACGCAGGGTCAAGAGCGCGTGCGTAAAACATCCCTAGACCTGCGGAGGGAGATCATCGACGTGGGTGGGATCCAGAACCTCATCCAGCTGCGGAAAAAACGCAAGCAGAAGAAGCGGGAAGCCCTGGCAGCCTCCCAGGAGCCACCTCCAGAGCCGGAGGAGATCGTAAGGGTCCTGGGGAGGACACCTGTGTGGGCAGGGGGAGCCGGGGAAGGGGGAATGGCTCAGATCACAGCGGAGCGGCCCCCAGGGACTGCATTCGCTCTCTCCAGGCTGGCCCCGTGGACGCGGAGACATTCCTGAAAGCGGCGGTGGAGGGGCAAATGAAGGTCATTGAGAAGTTCCTGGCGGACGGGGGTTCCCCCGACACTTGCGATCAGGTGATGTTCCCATCGGGCCCTGCACCTGTGCCGGCCTCCCTTTCAGAGCTGATGCCTGCACCCCGCCCGCTTGTGCATTCTTTGAGAAGAGGCATGGGTGTCCTTTAGGAGGGGGCCCCTCAGAAGATGTGGGATGCCCCCTTCCCCACACAGGAGTTTTTCTAAATCCTTAGACCCTTTCCAACTTGAACCACCTCCAGAGTAATAAACACCTGGATTTTTAGGGGAAAAAATGGAATGGAATCAAATACAGAGTCCAAGACCAGGAGATTTGGACTCAAATCCCACCTGTACCACTCCCTAGTTCTGTGACCTGTGGCTGGGCCCGTCACCTCTCTGTGCCTGTTTCCTTCTTCGTAAAACTGGCTCCACCCCTCAGAGCATGTTATGGGGATCAAATAGAATATTAGTGCTTCAATACATATTTATCGAATGAAAACACTATTAAAGCACATGCTTGGATATGATATTTTGTGTTGCATTGTATATCATCATACTTTTAACAATTATTTTTATCTTATGGTTAAAATATATATATATAAGACATGAGACATGCCAAATAAATTTTAAGTGCACAACTCAGCGGCATTAATTACACTTATAATGTTGTGCACCCATCCCCACGATTTTCAAAATGTTTCCGTCACCCGTCATACTTCTTTTTAACTGCCTCTTTCATACTTTGTAGGATGCTCTCTCGAGATCATATCCTGGGATTGAGCAAATTAATGGTCACCCCCTTCAGCCTGCATTATTGCAGGCTTAGACTACATGTCCTTTCCACTTTTTAGATTCCAGAGTTTTAATCCTCTTCGCCTATCTAAGCATCTCCCGCCTCTGTGTTGTGCTGGGAGCACAAAACCAGAAAGATCAGGGTTGACAGTGGCTGGGAGACTGATGCACAACCGGATCATTAGAATATGGAAAGATATGCCCTCTGGCCTGAGTGTTTCAAGAGACCAAAGCAGAAAGCCGACTGCATTGGACAGGAAGTTCATTCCCTCCTTGAATCAGTAATCAGGGTGCACCTGCCCATCCTGGCCCTGGGCAAGGCACTCAGGGGAAATAGTCAAGTAAGACTCAGCTTGCCTTTGACTGTCTATCACAGTGGAGGGTTGTCTGGACCCCTGGGACAGCTATGGCCTAGAGGTTTCAAGAAGTCGATGACACTTGAGCTGCATCTTCATGGAGTTACAAGAATTCATCAAGCACTCACAGGGAGTAGGGGCGAAATGGGCATTTGGGCACAGGCAACAGCTTGTGTGTTTAGGGGGCAGTGAGAAGGTCAGAGTCCACAGTGCACAGGAGGCCTCCAAGGCTGGTCCAGATAGAGCATGAAGGAGCCGGTGGAACATGGAAGATATGGGGACCCGGCACAGGGGTCAGAATCGGGCTGGGATAAGGCCTGGGCTCAACTTGGGTGGGCAATGGGCTCAGGCCTGGGGCCAGAGTTTAGGCCCTGACAGTTTCTCTGGGGACAGTTCCACCGGACAGCACTGCACCGAGCTTCCCTGGAGGGCCACATGGAGATCCTGGAGAAGCTTCTAGAGAGTGGGGTCACTGTGGACTTCCAGGATCGGGTGAGCAAGAGGCCAGGTATTGGGTGAGGGGCAGGAGGTGGGTCCAGCACTCATAGACTCCCTATCCCTGCAAACCTCCAACCTGGGACATAAACAAGCTGCCTCAGGGGCCAGGCTCCACCTCTAGTATGTTGTATGACCTTGGGGGGGCCCCATCTCCTCCCTGAGCCTCCTCTGTAAATCTGGCTTGGACGAGATGGAGCCCGAGGGTTCTTCGGCTCCACTGCATCCATTGCTCAGTCATTGGAGTGGCCCTATCCTTCCCTGGATATCTGCCTGCCCTCTTGGCTGGGGTCCTTTCCCCCAGGGCACTTTCTTCCCTGAAGCTCTGCAATTAGGCTCCACCCTTCCTTTCTAGCTGGACTGCACAGCCATGCATTGGGCCTGCCGTGGGGGCCACTTGGAGGTGGTGAAGCTTCTGCAAAGCCGGGGAGCAGACACCAATGTGAGGGATAAGGTGAGGCCATAATGCTCACAGCAGACACCAATGTGAGGGATAAAGTGAGGCCATAACGCTCACAGATGTTGGGGTAGCAGGGCGGAGGGGTGGGGGGGAGAGAAGCAGAGGGTAGAAAAGCAGAGAGCAGGAGGGTAGTGAGCTAGTCTGGTTTCTGGAGTGGCTGCAGAGCCCAGGGATGGGTCCTTGCCATCAGCTACAGCCCCTTGGAGACCACCATCTGGGAATGGGAGGAAGAGCAGAGGAGAGGGCAGGAGAAGAGAACCACTAGCTTGGCGGCTTTGGGGCCACCCAAAGATGCAGGATTTGTTCACCCATGCCATCGTTCATCATCCTTCTATCTGTCTATCTATCCATCCATCCATTCATTTATTGATCTGTTCACTTATTTTTTCATCCACCATTTTTAATTCACTCAATCCTTTGTATATGACCTTGAACAAGTGACAGCCTCTGAGCCTCTGTTGCTCGTCTATAAAATGTCTTGCAGAGTTCTTGTATAGATTGGATGGGAAAATTTATGTAAATTAATTATTTATTCAACATAAGGCTAATGTTTTGTAAGATTTTGCTGTGCTCATCACATAGTCATTTCTCAGTAAATGGCATCTGCTATAATTATTTTAAAAGGGCAGAGGAGTGAGCAGTTGCTCACATCCGGGTGAGAGGGGAATCATAGAAGTCTTCCCCGAGGAGGTGGCATGTAATGCCTTAGAGCTGATCATCAGATAGGGTGATGGGAAATTACAGCGTTCCCTGCCCCTCCTTGGGAGAAGGATTAGGCTAGAGTTAAGACAGCCGCCTCCCAGAGGCATCACCGTCCAGGTCCCTTCAGCCAGCATCTCCTGATTCCTCCCCACCCAGCTGCTGAGCACCCCCCTTCACGTGGCAGTCCGGACGGGGCACGTGGAGATCGTGGAACACTTTCTATCCCTGGGCCTGGACATCAATGCCAAAGACAGAGTGAGTGTCTGGGTTCCTTCACGCCCAGCCCCACCATAGGGGGCTCCATATGCCCCCTGAGGGCTCCCACATGCCCCCGTGGGCCATGCTGAATGTCTCACTGGTTCTAGGAAGGGGACAGTGCCCTGCATGACGCCGTGAGGCTCAATCGCTACAAAATCATCAAACTGCTGCTCCTGCACGGGGCTGACATGATGAGCAAGAACCTGGTAAATTCACTCCTTTCCTGATTCAGTAAACAGTGTGCGCTGCCCTCCCAGGCCCTGTGCTGGGCACTCGGAAGAAAGACAGAACTGAGCAGGGCTCTGCCGGCCTGCCCTTGGGGCAGTGTCACAGTGGAGGGTTTCTCTGGGCCCCAGGAGATTGGGGGCCCACTCGGCTTCCCAACTCTCTCTATGCTTCTCTACATCCAGAAAATCTAAGTGGAGAAAACAGCCAGGAGGGGACAGGAGGAGGATTTCCCAAAGGCCCCCAAGTAGACCACAGGCGGTCCTAATGTCCAGGCTCAGGGAGGCCAAAATCGTGGAGGGACAGAGCCGGAAGGAAGCTAAGCACTCAGTCAGCACGATTGTTCCTAGCACCCTGTGTTGGCTCCTGTGGTCCTCCAGTTCCTTTAGGAACCTATGTCCCCCCGTCCAAGCTCTTCTTTGGGGCCCAGAGCAATCACAAAAGAGAGGAGAACTGGGTAAGGGGGGACCTTGACTCAGGAAAGGCTGGGGGGTGCAATATAGGGGTAGGGGATTAAGAGGTACAAACTGTTCTGTATGATATAAGCTACAAGGATATATTGTACAACACGGAATATAGCCAATATTTTATAATAACTCTAAGTTGTAACTTACATAATATTGTACATCAACTATACTTCAACTTTTTAAAAAAAGCTATAGCTATATGAAAGAAAAAAGAGAGGCTGAGGAGATAATGGGGAAGTTAGGAAGACAAGGGGAAGGTGTAAATGAGGGCTTCTCAACCTCACACGTTTTGGGCGGGATAATTCTTTGTCGTGGGGGGGCTGTCCGTGCATTATCGGATGTTTGAGCAGCTTCCCTGGCCTCTACTCAAGATGCCAGTAGCATCCCCTCCTCCAGTGTCATAACCAAGAATGTCTCCAGACATTGCCAGTTGCTCCCAGTTGGGAACCACTGGCGTAGATGAGGGCACCTCTTCGTACAGACTTCTGAACGGTGACTAGATATCCTCTTGTTTCCCCCAGGAAGGAAAGACCCCCACGGACCTGGTGCAGCTCTGGCAGGCTGACACCCGGCACGCTCTGGAGCACCCGGAGCCGGGGTCAGAGCAGAACGGGCTGGAGGGGTCTGCCGAGAGTGGGCGGGAGACCCCCCAGCCTGTGCCAGCCCAGTAAACGACTGTCCCAGCCCCGCCAGGCACCTGGCCTGTCCCCTGCGTACAGCCGGAGGGTCATAAGAATGGCCCCCAGAGCTGAGGACCGCACCACTCCTCTGTGTTTGCCCCGGGAGCACCCACAAGCTACCGCAATTTTTAAAAAAAGTCATTTTTGCTGTGTGTGATGCTCATTTCTATTTGTGCCTGAAACATTTAGGAATGAAGGAAGAGTGGGGGCAAGGGTGGGCCCAGGCAAGAGGGGAACTTGGAGCCCTTTGGCCCCCCTGAGCCAGCCCTGCTGCTTTTCCTAACAAGGCCTCTTTTTGCTTCTTTCCTGCCACCCCACTTCCCAAGTTCCAGCGTGGATCAGCTTCCCAGGGCACTTGTCCTGGGGTCCCTTCCTGGTGACAGCTGTCCTGTGGGGCTGTGCGTGACCAGCACGGGCCTGTCACGTGGCAGGCTTGGTGGGAGGAGCTTGGCAGGGGAGTGGGGCAGTTGCCGGCGGCAGATCACAGGTCTCATCCAGCCAGCCTCGCCTCCCTCAGGGAAGGGCCGGCTCAGCCAATCGGCTCCGCCAAGCTCTCAACTGCCACGCGGAAGCGGGGAAGCCAGCCTGGCTCCTGGCTTTGGGGCTGGGAATTGTGGGAGGAGGGCCGGGCCCCACTGGAGGCACCCTTTTGTGTAAGGACCCCAGGAACCAGTCCTCCGTCTGGCCACAGGGACACTGGGTTGTGGCATTTCTCTAGCTGCTCCCCAGGGGGAGGGAAGACCTCCCTGGAGCCAACAGGCCTAGCCTCTGACCCTGGAAACACCCAGCCCAGGCCTGCCTGAGAGCCAACAAGTCAGGGGGCAGCAAATTTTTAACCAGACACATAGATCATTAACTGGGGTAGGAAGGAGTCCAAATTCAGCATCCCTCGGGGGCAGAGACCAGCTGGGCTTTGAGCCTCCTGCGGAGATGCTGGGCCCCCGAGTCTGGTCCTCTGTGAGGCAGGGGCTGAGCAGGGCCTTGTCCAGCACCGTGGGGGGCTGGGCCTCAGGGGAGGGGAGGAAGGTGGACATCTCAGGCATCTACCCCCCTGTGACCACCCCCTTCACTGCCACGGCCGAGGTGGACTATGGGAAACTGGAGGAGAATCTGCACAAACTGGGCACCTTTCCCTTCCGAGGTAAGTGGGGTCTGTCTGCTGTGGGAGTTGGGGAGATGTGAATGACCCTGGTCTCCTCAGCCAGCAACCAGAGGAGGGTACACAGGCTCTTTCGAGCTGCTCTTGGTCAGTCGGGTGCCCTGGGAGTCATTTTATTATGGGAGAGGAACAGGGGGCATTGGTCTGGAGTCAGGAAACAGGCAGGAAGCTAACTGCTGGCCTGTGATCTTGGGTTGAATCTCCTCTGCCTCAGTTTCCCCAGCTGTAAACTGTTGAAGTTCTTAGCCCAGCGTTATTGTGAGGATCAAACTAGATAATGGGTGTGAAAGCCTTTGTCAACCAGCCACTCTGTGCACATGTGAGGGTAGCGGGGTGTCACGTGGCAGCCCCGCCAGCGGGCTCATCTCCCTCAAAGCCTTGTTTGCACAATCTCTTCTGGGCAAAGCCTCCCTCGGCCAAATTAATTCCTGTCCTGGATCCTCTGACTCATTTCCCCTGTTACACATGGGCCTCCCCTCTCTGAGATCAGGGACCAGATCATATTTGTGACACTCAACATACAACACAGCCACAGGCACGATAAATGAAGATAAAAGAGGCACGATAAATGAAGATACAGAAGCGGCAAACTCTGCCCATCTTGCCCTGCCCACCCTCATCCATCACCCGTGACAGTGCCCTGAGGCAGTTCTCTCAATAGCCCTATTTCACAGACTGGGAAGCGGGGGCTCAGAGTGACGATCACTTGCCCAAGGTCACTCAGCTAATAAATGGCTGAGCTGGGGTTTGAACTCAGGTCTGACTGCACAGCCATGCTCGGTTTCACTCCACTGCACTGAATGATGAGTCGCTAGGTCAGATTCTAATAAACAGACCCTGATGGGCACCAACTTGGGAATGGAGTGGTTCCGACTGGGGTAATGCAGTGGAGCAGTTGGGAACGTGCACTCTTGATTCAAACCACAGCTCGGCCACTGACTTAGCTGTGAGATCTCTCTAAAGCTCAGTTTCCCCATCTGACACGTGGGAGTAACAATGGCCACATCATAGGAGGGTGGGGAGAAGAATCTGAGAGAATGCAAGTGAAAGCATGCTGTAAATTTTGAAGGGTATGTACATTAGAAGGTGTGGATTCCGGTGATAATGATGATTAGAATGACAGTATGATCGCCACTGCGGGCAGAGCCGCGTTGTGACAGTGCCCGCTGGCATGACTGAGACCCCATTCGTATCTCAGTGCTGAGGCGATGTGAACCTTCCCTAGCGGCCAGTGAATGCCCTGTGGACGTCCACACTGAGCAGTGACACAAACTCTAAGTACATTTCTGCTGGGGCTCAGCTCATTGGAGCCTGAAGGTTTGGGCTGAGGCTCGGATCTCTTGAAGCAAAGTGAGAAGCTCCTTGAATCTCTAAACGAAGACTCTGCTTCACCTCCCGGCTTCAAGGACACCCTAGTGCAGGGGGTGGGGAGGGTAGACTTTGCATCCAGTGTCTGCCTGCGCCCCAGGCTCTCCTCTGGACCCTTCCTTCCCCCTCCCCCCAACTCACTGCTGCAGTGGGGACAGGGGTGCCTAGGAGCACAGGCTGCAGAGGGTTTGGCAGGCTGGCCATTGGTAAACTACGCAGGCACCAGCTCCCACCTCAGCTCTCTCTTACCCCCCGCACGTGGGGGGGGGGGCGGGGCACTGTGTAGAAGAGCCCAACACCCGGAGTTAGAAGACCTGTAGGAGTTCTAGTTCTGCTAGTTACGGCGACCTTGGAAAAATCACTGAACCTCTGATCCGGCTTCCTCATTTTAGAATGGCAACTGGGCCACAGCATTCAACATAGTCCTCCCAAGGAACCCAAACCTGAGGTCCTGGCACAGATAACACCGGGCCATAGGGCCCAGTCACAGCTCCCAGGATGCAGCCAGGTTGCCTGGGAAGGGAACAATGGGCCACTCTAGCGCGAAAATCTATGTCTCTCTTGCTGGATCCTCACCCCCTTTTGCAGCCCAAACTCAGGGGCAGGGGAGGGAACCATCACGTATCACATTGCCAGGGCCTCCTGCAATGAGTTAAAGGTCCTCCAAAGAGGAGATGGGAACCTGCCCTTGATGAATTAGTGAAGAGTTAAGAGATTCTTCTGAAAGGCATTGCCTGAAACTGTGCAGCTCTATTTATTACTTACTTTTTTTTTTTCAGCATAGTTAATTTGTACTAATTATTTGAATAAAGAGTATTCTTTTTAAATAAAACTTATAACCGAAGACCAGAGGGAAGGGTTTTTGCAGAAGGGCCATTGGTCCCTGAACTCACACCCACGAACAACCTCAGAGATGAACTTTGAATTGTTATTTCCAAATGAGGTTAGTGGATGACCCCAGAGTTACTCCAGCAGGATCAGGGAGGTGATGTTTCCCAGAAAACCTTAAGCTTCTGTCTTATTCCCTTATTATGAAGGGAAGACTATGGTTTCTCGTGATAAAGTATAATATTTTGTGTATATTAAAGCCATTAGTTCGTTAAATAAAATATTTTGTTTAAAATATCACAATTTTTATAACCCTATTTGGCATTGAAAAATGTGTCATATGCCTCTGGGAGTGGCCCAGGCCTGTTTCTGCCCTGAGAGGCCCTGGGTATAATTTGGGATTGACGGTCAGACTCTCAGTTGTCTGTACCCACAGAGAGCCTGGCCAGCTGGCCCACCCACTCATAACCTGAACTCTGCCCACTTACAGGGGAGTTGGGGGCAAATTCTGGGTTTGCAGGTGCATTAAGGCAAGAGGTAGCAGCCTCCATCCTGAAATGGCCCCAGGGATCTGGGACGGGCTGAAGTCTCCTGTCCTGTGTATTCTGCCTTCTCAGCCCACTGCTTATCTTCCCCCCAATTGTGACCTCATGTTATTCCAGAATGAGCTCCTTTCTGGACCCCTTTGGCTTCCGGACCCTCTCTGTTATGGGGCTGGGGGCTGTAAGTGGGGATGGAATGCACTGAGCTGGCAGTGGGGCTCGGCCCTTCATAGAGGGAGACACTAGCCTTAGGCAGCCAGGAATGGATGCCAGCCCAGCCAAGGGGGTCTTTCAACCATGGCCAGCTTGACCCAGCAGCTTCTGCCCCTTGGGTGCCATCAGATGGGGAGGAAGAGAAACCAAAGACTGGAGGATAAGAAGGCCTGAGTTGCAGAATAGGTCATAAGCAGGAGGCAGAAGGGACTCAGAATTGGGGAAGCTACCCTTCCACTGACCTTGGGGACAGCTGTCAGGGTGGGAGAAAGGTCCCAGGCCTCAGCCCATGCCTGTCAGACTAGACATAAAGGATCCTGTGACCTCTCCCCGCCCCGCCCCTCAACCACCTTCCTCACAATGGGGTTCATTGCTGAGGTGGGAGGGGCAGCCTAGGGAGGGCACAGCGGGGGGCATGCCTGCCAGACAACCTCGGGGAGCCTGTCCTTTCAAGCATGAGCCATACCATCTGGGCTCCCCGACTCCCAGTGTGCTCTTAGCTCTGCCCGCCTGGCGTGGGGTCCTGGAGACCTTCTTGGAGCTCATCCAGCAACCATCACGCAGGGTGGTGCTGGGGACCGCCCTCTTACTCGGAGGTGGAGGCCTCATGTTGTGGATGCAGAGGAAGAGGAGAAGGAAGAAGGATTCTGAGACTGCACAAGACGAGCAGGAGCCACCAGAAAGCGACAAAGCAAGGAAGGAGAGCTGGATCAAATCGCACTTTAGCTGTTTTTCTGAAGAGAAGCTGGCTGCCGGCAGCAACCCCACCTGCAGCCACAGCGCCGGGGCCTGCAGCAGCGGTGCTGCTGCCCAGCCTGAGAGCGGCAGCGGGGAGGCCAGCACCACGATTCGTGTGGACACCTTCACCACGAGGCAAGGAGAAGAGGGCACTGCTCTTCACCGGGAGCCCTTGACCAGCAAGCAGAGGATGTCTGGGACCTCAGTGACCAAAGAGACCCACGAGGAGTCTGGGAAATCCTCGTCCACAGATGAGGCCACGTGGGCCGCCGTGGCTGCCTGTACCAAGGAGATTGACACCAAGGGGCAGCAGCTGGCTATCTCCATGTTGCAGCATGCCACGGCTTGCCAGAACTCAGGCCACCTGGAGTCCAAGGACATCAGCCAGGAGGAGCTGAAGGCCCTCGAGGAGGTGGAGATGAAGCTGAAAGGGAATTTCCTCACCCAGCAGGAAACCACCACAGCTGGTGCCAACCACACGCACACCTTCCATAGCCATTGCCACCATGGCCACCAGGGTTATCCAAGCCACCCGTGCCACAGCCTGCCGAACAGCAGCCACCAGGCCTACCAGCCCTTTAAAGCCACCTGACCACAGATGGAGATGCCCCTTCCCCCCACAGGGCTGGCACACAATCACAGGCATCCTATGTGGTCCGTATCTCCGATGGGGCAAACTATGTGGCCCAGATGCTGCTTAAATCCCTTCTTCGTCAGGCCCTCACAAGGGTCCTGGGCCCCTTGGATTCTGTGAGCAGGGTCTGCCACTGATGGCCCCTGACGGAGGGAGAGCTGGGGGGAATTGAAGCAGCTGAGACAGACTCGCAGGCCACGGAAGACCCACCGAGAGAAGATGCGCGAGGCAGATCCCAGGAGCAGCTGAGAGCACCACGCTGATGCCAGCTGCCTGGAACTGAGCCAGTAAAGCCTTGTACACCCTCACTCTGGGTCTGAGGGCTTTGTGGCCAGCCCCAGGTCTGGGCGGGCGTCTGGGGAGAGGGTCCCTCCTCCCACAGTCCTCTTCATGTGGGCTGATTCGAGACTCCATAATTCGGTCTCCCGGGTCTCAGTTTCTGGGCGTGGGGAATCTCCAGGGGGCTCAACTGCCACCGACCTGCTGCTACCAAGGAAGGAGGGAGCAGCTGGGAGTTGGGAGGAGTGGGGAGAGACAGGCTTTGAGAAGCCAGGAAGTAAGCAGGGGTGGGATGTAGGTCACCCTGTGTACTACCGCCCTCTCCCTGCCCGCACTGGGATCCGTGTTGGTGCCTCCCCACCGCCTACCTTCAAGTTACTGTACCATATGCTCTCTTGTTCATGCTACTCTTGCTGGGGCTGCCTCTGTTGCAGTACTGCTAAACCGTAGTGGGATTAGTACTACCAGTAGCTCTGCTCACCTTTTTTTGAGTGTTTAGTATATGCCATGTTGTGTGTTGTGTTACGGCACAGCCCCATGAGGAAGGTATTATGTTATCTCCATTTTGTAGGTGAGGCTCAGACGTGTAATTTTCCTGAGACAGCCTAGACAGTAAGTGATGTTGCTGGGGTCAGAGCCCAGCTTGGCCTAACTCCAAAGCCCGTACCCCGAACCCCTGCCCTGTGCTGCCCCCGAGTCCGATGCCCACCATCCCCCAGTGGGCCTATCTCTCTTATACTTATCCCTTTCCTCTTCCCACATGTCCTGATACTCGCTGTGCCCTCCGGCAAGCCTGGGACTCTCCTTGCCTCCTCTTCCTGGGTTTCACAAAGTCATTTCTGGAGCAAGCAGTGACCCCCAGTTAGGCAGTTAACGGGAGGCAGCTGTCATGAAACTTGAGAGGACTCAGCTACATGGCACTGTCTAACCTCCAGTGTCTCCTTTACATAGAACTTTCTTAGCATTTGCATCTACTATGGATTTACCAGTGGTTCCCAACCTGTGGGCCTCCAACTCCAGGAAGAAGGTGCCCAGAATCATTGCAAAGGATGGGTAAATCTATAAACACCCTAAATGTTGTCAACTGATTTTATGGAGCATAGTTGGGAGTATTTGAATATTTTTGACATTACTGATAAGTGACTTTATATAAATGTTGATGTGTGTGTGTGTGTGTGTGTGTGTGTGTGTGTGTGTATTTAAAGTACTTCATAATAGGGACTTCCCTGGCCGTCCAGTGGTTGAGACTCCACGCTTCCACTGCAGGGGGCGCAGGTAAGATCCCTGGTTGGGGAACTAGGACACCCCATGCCGCACAGCGCAGCCAAAAAAAAAAAGTACTTCATAATAAAAATCTTAGTTGGAAAAAAATGGGGTCAATCATACTGCAAAATGTTGGAAGCTGCTAATTAGATGGAAGGCGAGAGCAGTGAGGTTTGGCTTCTGAAGTGATTGTTAAAATGCATAAAATGCATGCATTTATCTGGAAGACCTTAAATCCCTTATTAAAAACTTATTACATAAAATTTCAGATTAGCTAATTATGACTTTGGAATCTTAACTTTTAAAAAGTTTCAAACTGGCAAAATTCAAATAAAGTGTGTAGTTAGCATTGTACCAATGTTAAGTCTTTGGTTCTGATCATTGTACTCTAGTTAGGTAAGATGTTGTCATTAGCGGGGGGCTGGGGGAGGGATGTATGGAAATGCCCTGTACCAGTTTTGCAACTTTCCTGTAAATTGGAAAGTAGTTCAAATTAAAAGTCAAAAACGTTTTCAGGCAATTTAGTTGAGATGATATCAAAGTTTTATTACAGTCGTGCTGCAAGGAAAATAGCTTCTAAGCAGCCAACTGAAGTATATACTCTTGGAAAGGATATTTTTATAAGAAAAGAGAATGGTTAAATCATTGTTAGACTAGATAGAAAGAAGAGAAGTTAACAGTCACTAGACTCTTGTCTGAGAGTCCGCTGGGAGAGTGGCTGGTTTCCCAGACCAAGGCTTAATTCCATTAAAGCTCATTAGGAAATTGCTTAAGCATTTCATCAGGAACTTTCATGTCTTCCTAGTGGGAGGTTATGAATTACATCATGCAAAAAAGTTCTGCCCTAGACCAGGTTTGGGACAATTTTTCTTTTATACAACAAATTATCAACGCACATGTCAACAGGCAGTGTGCTGGGTGTCACGAAGGAGGCCAAAATGAAGACACCATCTTTGATCTCGATGCTTCTAGACAAGGTAGGGCAAGTGCTGGGCAAGGACAAAATGCTATGGAGCACAAGGGAGAGGGGGATTAAGGAAAGGCTTCGTGGTTCTTGCAGCATTTGAGGGGCTGCAACTAGGGAGGTGTTCTGGGCAGAGAGAAAGGTACAGGAGCAAGGTGTAGAGGCAGGATGATGGCAGTGTGTCTGGGGACTCTGATAGTAAGTTTGGCTGGAGGGGAACATTCAGAGATAGGCAAAAGGGAAGAGGAAAAGCCCGAAAAGTGACTCCAAAGCCTCAAGGCAAAGAGAACTTAAGAGACTGTCCCATCCAATTTCCTCATTTCACAGCAGAGGCCAGTTTGAGAAATTTTGTCAAGTCCCAACAGGTGGGGGTCGGGCAGATTGAAGGGTTCTGAGGACCTCTGTGCACTTTTGAGTAGGCAGCAGGGAAGGACAAGGAATAGGTAATGGAAGTTCAGAGGAGAGATGTCCAGTGAAGGCTTGATCCCAGGAAGACTTCTCGGAGGAGGTGGCAATGATGATGGGCCAAGGGGCGTAACACTGACTGGGGATGCTACTTACATAAAAGAGACTGTGATTCCTTTTGGCCACAGTAAATCACCCGGTTGCTTGTGTGTCCTCAGCCCCGACCTACTCCCCTCACCAAGGCTTTCTGGCTCCCCAGAGCAGCCAGAATAACCATGGGGGCAAGGGAGAGAAGCTTCTGAAATGAGTCTCTTTCCTCTTAGAGCTGGAGGGGGCCTGAGAGGTTCCTGAGTGCAGCCTCCCGTCCCACACCAGCCATCCTCCCCCTCCTCAGACTGAAAGTTGCCACCCTCCACCCTCCTGATTTAAGGCTTGAGCACTCCTCTGACTAATATAATGATTACAGCTAACATATTGAATGCCAGGTTCTAGCTATTCCAAGCACTTTACAAATAGTATCTCATTGAAACTTCACAAGTCTTGAAAAAGGGCACCAATATTACCCCCATTTTTCAGTTGGGGAAGCTGAGGTTTGGTTAAACCATTTGCCCAAGGGCTCAGAGCTGGCAAGGGGCCACACTGGGAGTTAAACCCGGGCTCTGACGACCCTACTGTGCTGCTCCCTGCTTCCCCACCGCCCACTTTCCTCACTCCCCACCCATCTGGAACCCTGGCCTTTTTCTCTCCTTTAGCCCCACCTCTACACCATGGTGGCACATTAGACCTGAAACTGGACATCTGGTCAAGGAGAAGGAGGGGGGTCTTGGCAGTATCAGTTCACAGACTTCAAAGTGCTTGCTTTCTCCTACATTTTCTCGTTTGAGCCTTTAAGACAGCCCTATAAGGTAGGATTGAAGTGACTTTATTGTCATCCCAAAGAAAAGGAAATGGGGTCTCAGAGAGCGATGTGACTTGCCCAGTAGCCAGAGGGACTGGAGTCCAGCGCTTGCCTGACTCTATCACACTTCCTCTCCCCCAGCCTGGCATCTCTTCCTTCTTGGGAGTCAGGCCCAGGTCGGATGCTCCCTTAAATGAAATGAGGAGAAGCCACTAGGAGTCTTGAGCACAGGGGGAGCTCAAGACCCAGCTGTCCTGCTGTTTAGGCCAAGTCCAACTGTGGGGACTGGAGGCTTCTGGAACTGACCACCAGAATGAAAGGGGACTTGGGAGTGAGTGACTGTGTCTGGAGACATGTCTGAAGCAAGAAGCCCCCTTCAAGGGGGCTGGCAGGAAATGTTGCGGAGGCAGTGGCAAGAGCTTGTTCTCTAAATTCTTAGCCAGAGGGTGCTGGTCCAATCGTGGCTGGATTGGAGCCCTCTCTGGGGTTGGCAACTCTGCAAGTGGGGTGATGCACTGGGAAATCACTGTGGCCTTATGGAGCAAGACAGAAGGAGGCTCCCACCGTAGGCCCCTAGCCTGACACGGAGGAATTGATCCTGAGGAGGCAATGCAACAGAAGCCAAAATCTATTTGCCTCAAGATGTTCCCTGCGATGTTACCAAGGCAAAAACTGGGGGAAATATGCTAAGTATCCGGTGAGCTCTTCTGGCAACCCACTCAGTGGACTTTAACGGTAGAGCGAACAGCACAGAGAGAGATTTGTGGTGTAAAGTTGTCTCCCCATCACACTGTGTCCCCTTAAGGATGACTCATAGGAACAATCTCTCTTTGTCCCAGTGCCAGGAAACTCTGTGTTTCTCCAGGACAGCTGCTTTGCTTTATCTTGATTTCTACATGTCTGTCAGCTGACCACGTTTCCCTTTTAGCTTTGACTGTCGGGAAGCTCCAAGTCAAATTTCTGGCCCATCAGAACTGTATGGCAGGGATTTTGTATACCAACATTCCCCCTGGCTTTCTTTTCTTTCCTTCCTCCCAAACGGTCTTCTATTTATTAATAATCTTCGTTTATTGTACGCTGTATTTAAGAAAAAAATTTTTGAAATGGAATGGAGAGGAGAAAGAATAGGAAAGAGAAAGTAAAACGAAAAAAGCTGAGAGGAAAATGGTTTAACATTCCGTTTAGATTCAGCTGAAAAGCATCAATTCTACTGGTCTCTCATGGATATAAAAGGGTTGACACCTTTAACTGGTAAAGTTAGAAATCTCACAGATGATGGTTAAAAAAGGAAAATGCAAAATAAAATAATGAGATGTGGGCTTCCCTGGTGGCGCAGTGGTTGGGAGTCCACCGGCCGATGCAGGGGATGCAGGTTCGTGCCCCGGTCCGGGAGGATCCCACGTGCCGCAGAGCGGCTGGGCCCGTGAGCCATGGCCGCTGAGCCTGCACGTCCGGAGCCTGTGCTCGGCGGCGGGAGAGGCCACAGCAGTGAGAGGCCCGCGTAACACAAAAAAAAATAAAAATAAAAAAATAATGAGACATCATTTTCCACCCAGAAAATTGGCAAAAATTAGTTCTGACAATACTCAGTATTGGTGTGGATGAGCACTAACATTTTTTTCTACGTGCTGCTGGGGTATGAACTGGCTAATTAGAATTTTGGCACGTGAAGATGCATTTCCATGTGACTCAGCCTTTACATGCCTAAGTATCTAAACTGAGAGAAACTTTTAAACGTGTTTGTTTCAGCATTGTCTGTAATAGCAAAATTAGGATGTATTCTAAATGTCATCGAAGGGAGAATGAAAAGTAAATTGTGGTCTAACTTCACAAGAGAATACTATACAGCAATGAAAGTGAATGAATCAGAGCTCCCTGTACTGCTGTGGCCAAGGTGCAAAGCACAATGGTGAGCAAAAACGGCAAACTGCAGTATGTTATGTAAGTGTGATTCCATTTCTATAATGTTTTAAATGGCAAAACCCATCTTATAGATTGTTTATGGGTCCAGATGTATGTTTTAAGGGTATAAAGACATGAATGGGAACAATAACCACTTGAGACACGCCAGAGATGAGGAAGAGGACGGTGACGGGGTGGGGGGCAGGTGTCGTGGGTGCTGGGTACACCGATGTGGATTCTATTATTAACTATTCTTTTTGGCATGCCTAAAATATCTCATTAAAACAAAGAAAAATAGTGTGAACCCTGTCACGGCAACTGGGTAGCACGCTCTGCCTGCATCAGGACTGGGAAGGAAATGTGTGATAAACTGTGGTGTCGGGGAGGTAGGAGCCTGGGTGAGCATAAGTCCAACATCCGCTTTTTCACAAGCACGTGGGAAGGTGTTGCCTCTCTTGCAGGCTTCGTGGTCCAAGGCTCCAACGGCGAGTTCCCCTTCCTGACCAGCAGTGAGCGCCTGGAGGTGGTGAGCCGCGTGCGCCAGGCCCTGCCCAGGGACAAGCTCCTGCTAGCCGGCTCGGGCTGCGAGTGTGAGGCCTTAATGCCCCGGCCCTGGCGGTAGCTGCTGGGGGCGGGGGCGGGCTCCCTGACCCGGGGCTGGGTCCGGTCTAGCGCTTGCTCTGTCTCTTCTGCTCTGCGCCCCTTGCTTGCGCCAGGGTCCTAGCCCAGTCCTCTGCCTCCTGCCCTCGCCCAC